CTCACTGTTTTTCTGTTATACCTCCTGGCTATGAGGCTTTACCTGAAAGGTCATAGTTACCGAGATAGGTCTATAACCCCCTCCTCCCCCCCTTTTTTTAACTAGAGCCCCTTCTATGATTACCTCTAGCGTTTTTTAATGGACAGAGTCTAGGAAAACAACCCAGAAATAATGGAAGAGTTGAAACTCCGTGTTGCACATGACGTTCACAGAATCAACCCAGAAACACGACATGGGGTTAGTCAACATTTCCAGTGGTACATTGGAGCTTGTACTGATATAATTGGCCAACACCTGGAGATTTAAATAGCCATCACCCCCTGAATTTATTTGGCAATATCAGTTTTGTATAAATTTGCTGTCCAAAGAACCAATAATGTTTTTTTGAAGTGGAACAATATGGTTAGTTTTTAAGAAGCTGTAAAGTGTTGCGTTTCATTCAATTTTGACGCTCATATGACCTATTATGCACTTGCGAGCGTCGTAAAATCTCACTAAAACTAAAACTAACACAATTTTGGTTAACATTTTTAGAACTTAATATTTTTTCGAAGATTTTCGGTTGATTTAAAAATAATGTTTTTGACAAATGTAACGTCCCCGTGGCTGAATTTTGTCTCTTCCAAATGTTGTTGGAATTGGTCTAAGTATGAGCGAGTTATTGCCCGTACGGGATCCTCTGGTACTTTCAAAGTGAAAAATCCTTAGCGGTCCATAATTTTACGAAATAAATGATACTGATTTTGAAGATGCTGCGTTGGTTGGGTTTTTGTTTTGCGTTGGGGTTTTTTCAATGTCCAATGAAAATTCACACAAACATTTTCAGAAACAAAAGATAAATTTGAGAACACAAAAGAAATCCGACGTTAATTTACTCACGGCTCCATTCACAGGTTGATATCGTCTGCTCGGGGAACGTATCTTTCAAACTTTTGCAGCCAAATTTGAAAACCCTGTCTTCATAATGGTTGCTGTGGACGCTTTCGATTGACTGTGGAACGAAAACAAGAATAAGAGAAAGTAGGCTCACAACCTTCTTAAATGTGTGTTTCTATCTGAAAAGTGAGTGGTTGGAGGGTGCTCTGGTTTTGGTTTGCTCCTTCTTTCCTACCAAACGTCTATCATCCTAATCTCTCTTTTCCTTTTTTGTGTTTGTTACTCTGGGGTTCGAGCCTCGGTTCGGACACGAATTTTTTTCGCCCCCTCCTGCCCACCCAGCAGTAATGGATACCTGACTTCTAGTTGAGGAAGTAAAGGCGGCGTGGAAAGGAACTGGCCACCTTACCACAATATGCCGAAGGCCCAGGAAGTTGTCTCACTAACAAGGCAATCCCCAATGTCCGGATCGGATGGGGGAACAACTTTACTCTACTCCCTTGTAACTTTACTTTACTTTCACTCCCTTGTAACACCTCTAATCTTCGGCACTTAAATGACCTTATTGTGTTGCAAGTGCCTTAAAACTCTTTCGAGAAAAAAACCAAACTATCTGAAAAGACGCAAAGACTCTTCATGGGTGGACTCCAAGCTTGGCGTGTGCTACTTCCAAAATCCCTGTATTGTGATGTCAGATCGTGAGGATTTTCTTGACAAGAGGGCGTATTTTTAAATATAATGTTACGTTATATCTGTATTATATATTATATATTAT